TGAAGAATATAGTAAAATTAAAATTATTGAAACCGTTTTACTGGAAGGTTTTAAACCCGAGTATTTGCTGAATACAGTACTGCTTATCCACCGTTATTATATACTTCTCGATATAATTGTTATTGAAACTGAAGAGATATGTTATCATAAATATGCAATAGCGTTTTTGAAGTCTCTTATTGTATAAAACTATTTTGGTCGTGACTTAACTTTTAGAGTTCCAGGATTATCCTGAGAGGCGCGAAGAATATTATTATAATTTTTATAGTCTCCCAGAGGGTTAATATACGATTCACAACGTTAAAATAAAAACATATATATGGAATATGCTGTATGTTTGATAGAAAGTTATTATGAAAATAGATACAGAAATATATTAACCAGTTTATGTGAAAATTTAAAAATCGTTATAAATAAAATTTAATAGTAATTGCGTTACTACCTGCATTTTCAACGAAATCTCTTAGTAGTTTCCACATAGAAATTTTATATTTACTTTGCCACTCAAAATGTAAACATTTAACAACTCTGCATTATGAGGCTTCATTACCGGTTGGTAAGTACTCAGGAACTCTGGTGATAATGAAGCAATAAACTTCGTATGTAGTCAAGTGGAAAGAAAATTTCAAGCCATCATATCATTTACACTTCAACGAAAATCAAGGAGAATGTTATTTTCTTTATGGTTACAATATCTTCTTCTGTAATATGTAGAACAAATGATTTGAAGCGAATTGATTGATTCGCGAAATGTGATCCAAATAATGTTCATTCATAATGAATCTTCAGTTACAAAACTGTACATTCAACTGTTTCAAATTAAAGTTTTACATCATTAGTATGACAATGGAGTATAAGATAACCATGGAAGATAAATTCGTATTGTTCCTCTTTAATATACTTCACTGTGCATATCAACTGGATGTACTTCTTCACCCATAAGGGGCGCCTGTTATAATAGATTATTTCGTCCGTCCGTCCTTCCGGTTCTCTGTGGGTCTGTACGCATGAAATAATATGACAAGAGCTGAACAGTTGAAAATGGAAGTTAATTTTGGCTAACTGTAAGATAGACTCTTTAACCATTTTAATGTTCATTTAATTCGACAGCTTTAATGACACATTTACCTTCTTTTTCACAATATAATTAACTATTTGATCGTTGTAATGAAGACTCGTTTTCTCTAAGGTAGAAGAAACAATTTTAGGTACGATTTCCGGTTGCCCTGTCAACTTCAGACCAACATGTATTTTTCTGGATCGCTT